GCTTTTCTCTAGTTGTGGCGAGCGGGGTCTACTCTTCGTTGTGGTGCATGGGCTTCTCGTTGCAGAGCACTGGCTCTAGGTGCATGGGCTTCAGTAGTTGTGGTACGTGGGCTGTAGAGCGCAGGCTCAGTAGTTGCGGCACACGGGCTTAGTTGCTCCACGGCATGTGGGATCTTCCCGGACCAGGGCTCGAACCTGTGTCCCCTGCATTGGCAGGCGGACGCTCAACCACTGCGCCACCAGGGAAGCCCCACATGTCTTTTTGAATTATGGTTTTTTCAGGGTATATGCCCCGTAGTAGGCTTGCTGGGTCATATGGTAATTCTATTTTTAGTTTTTTAATGAACATCCATACTGTTCTCCATAGTGGCTGTATCAATTCACATTCCCACCAACAGTGCAAGAGGGTTCCCTCTTCTCCACACCCTCTCCGGCATTTATTGTTTGTAGATTCTTTTCAAGTGCCCGTGGAACATGCACCAAGATGGATCCTGTGTCATAAAACAAACTTCAGTACATTTAAACGATTGAAATCATGCAGAATATATTGTCTGACCATAATGGAACAAATGAGAAACCAATAATAGACCACAGGAAAATGTTCAATCACTAAGAAATTAAACAGTATACTTCTAAATAATCCATGGGTCAGAGAGGAAGTTTTCAGAGGACATTTTAAAAATACAATGAACTGAATGAAAATGAACATATCGGGAGTTCCCTGGTGGTAGAGTGGTTAGGACTCGGCGATTTCACTGCCGGGGCCAGGGTTCCATCCCTGGTTGAGGGATGATCCCACAAACCTTGTGGCGCAGCCAAAGAAAAAGAAAAAGAAAAAGGAACATGTCAAAATTTGTTGAATGCAGCTATAGCAGTACTGAGAGGGGAATTTTTGGCACTAAGTACTTACATTAGAAAAGATAAAAGGTCTCAGATCAACACTCTGAAACTAAAAAAAGAATGAAGTAAATCCAAAACAAGCAGAGATCAGTGAAATTATAAACAATAAAACAGAAAAGAAAATTTATTAAACCAAAAGCTGGTTCTTAAAGAAAACCAACACAACTGATAAACTTTTAACAAAACTGACAAAGGTGAAAAAGAGACACAACCAACCAATAACAGGAACAGGGAATATCACTACAGACATTAGAAGCATAATAGGGGAATACTTGGAGCACCTTTTATCCTCACAAATTCAGTAACTTCGAAGAAATGTACCAATTCCTTAAAACCCACAAATTACCATAACTCAACCACAGTGGTAACCTGAAGAGCCATTAAAGAAACTGAAATTTTTTATTTAATTGAAGTATAGTTGATTTACAATGTTTTAATTTCTGCCGTACAGCAAAGTGATTCCATTATACATATATACATATATTCTTTTTTTAATATTCCTTTCCATTATGGTTTATCATAGGATATTGAATATAGTTCCCTGTGCTATACGGTAGGGCCTTGTTTATTCATCCCAGATATATGAGTTTGCATCTGCTAATCCCAAATTCCCAATCCTTCCCTCCCCTTTAGCCGTCACAAATCTGTTCTCTGTGTTTGTGAGTCTGTTTATATTTTGTAGATACGTTCATTTGGGTCATATTTTAGATTTCACATATAAGTGATGTCATATGATATTTATCTTTCTCTTTATGACTGACTTCACTTAGTATGATTCTCTCTAGGTCCATCCATGTTGCTGCAAATGGCATTATTTCTTTTTTATGGCTGAGTAATATTCTGTTGTATATATACACACCACATCTTCTTTATCCATTCATCTGTTGATGGACATATAGGTTGTTTCCATGTTTTGGCTATTGTAAATAGTGCTGCTATGAACATAGGTGTGCATGAATCTTTTCAAATTATAGTTTCGTCTGGGTATATGCCCAGGAAATTGAATTTTTAATTAAAAAGCTTCTGATGGTTTCAGTGGAGAATTTTACCATACATTTAAAGAATAATTGACACCAATTTTACACATTCTTTGCCAGAAAATATAAGAGGAAGGAGCACTTCCTAACTCATTATATGATGTCTGTATTATCCAGATAACCAAAATCAGGCAAAGACAGTACCAAACAAACTACAGACTGCTATCTCCCATGAACTTAGGTGCAAAAATTTTTAACAAAGTACTAACAAATCACACCCAGCAGTATATTAAGATGGTTATACACAACAGCCAAGTGGAATTTATTCCAGGTATGCAAGGCTGGTTCAATAATCAAAAACCAATCAATGTAATCCATATCAAAAGTCTAAAGAAGAAAAATCATAAACACATAAAATTCAACAAAATCCAACACCCATTTGTGATAAACTCTCATCAAAGAATAGAGGGAGAACTTCCTCAACGTGAGAAAGAGCATCTACAAAAAACCTACAGCTGACGTCATAGTTAACAGTGAAAGACTACATGTTTTCACCCTAAAGTTGGGAACAAGGCAAGGATACTTGCTGTCATCACTCTTATTTAACATAGTACTGGAGGTTCTGGTTAGCACAGTAAAGCACGAGAAGGAAATACAAGGCATATAGATTGGAAAGGAAGAAAAAAATCTGGCTGTGTTTGTAGATGATATGATTGTTTATGTAGAAAATTCCAAGGAATCTACCCTCACAACCCCTAGAACTAATTAGTGAGTTTATCAGTGTCACAGGATACACTATAAACATGTAAGAAACAATTAATTCCATTTCCATTTAGTAACAATGAACCTATTTTATTCAAAATCCTGTAATAAATATTCGTAGCAGCTTTACTTAAAATAGCAAACAGCCAGAAACAACCAAAATGTCCTACAGTAGGTGAATGGTTAACCTGTGGTACAGCCACACAATGGACTTCTCATGTACAACACAGATGCACCTCAGAAGTGTGTTGCTGGGTGAAAGAGGCCAGCTACAAAAAGTAGGACACTGTGTGATTCTACTTATATAATATTCTTGAAATAATATTTTAGAGATGGCAAGCAGATTAATAGCTGCCAGAGATTAAGGGATTGGAAAGGCAGAGGGAGTGGGGTGGCTCTAAAAAAAAAAAGGGTAACATGAGGGAGGTCTGTGGTGATGGAACAATTAATATGTTTTGATTCTTAGTAGTGGTTACATAAAGCTACACATGTGATAAAATGGCATAGAACTGCTTACATACCCGCACACCTGCATGCACGTGCATGCGCGCGCGCACACACACACACACACACACACACACACACACACACAAATGAATGCATATAAAACTGGAAAAGTCTGATAAGCTCTCTAGATTGTACCAATATCAGTTTCCCGGTGTACTATAGTTATGCAGGGTGTCATTGGGGGAGACTGGGTAAAGGGTACACAGAACCTCCCTGTACATTTCTTTGTTAACTTCCTGTGAATCTTTACTTCAAAACAAAAAGTTTTAAAATAAAGCCTCCTAACGCTCCCTAGTTTTGTGCCTGGTCCTCCACCCCATCCCAAAATTAAGTCACCATTGTTTTGTTTCATCATCGTTCTTCCAAAGACTTTTAAAAAATGCATGTACAAGTGTATTTGCAATAGAAGTGTATTGTCTTTCCTAGACAATGGTTTCATGTTATACCTACTGTTCTGTGCCTTGCTTTTCTTTTCACTGAGTAGAGATCGTTCCCTATCAGTCATGGTTTATTTTTTCAAATTCAGAGATAACATTGATACTTCTGCCATATGCTTTAACCAGTTTTCAGTGACCAGACTTCTGGGTTCAGTCCTTTGCTTTTAGGAACAATGCTCTGGTGAAAGACCATACACATTTGCTATTTTGCAGGTATGTGAATATATCTCTAAGATAAATTTCCAGAAATTGTAATTGTGGATTAGAATTTATTTGCACTTGTAATTTTTGGAGATACTGCTAGACTGCCCTGCATCTGATTTGTACCATTTCACACACTTCCAGCAGTGTATGTCCTCACATTATCCCCAGCAGCTACTTTGAGATTTTAGGACTTTTGGACAATATGTTAGGTTAGAAATGGTATCTTTTCACATTTTCAAAAGTGATTTGTATTTCTTTTTCTGTAAACTGTGTTCATATTCTTTTGGCCATTTTTCCTGTTCATTTTCTTTTTGGCCTTTATAGGAGTTGGTTGATTTGTAGGAGTAGTTTATGTAATAAGCTCTGTGTCTTTGATGTGAGGTTCAATGCTTTTTCCTGTTTATCATTTGCTTTTGGACTTTTTGTATTGTTTTTTGGGGCACGTGGAAGCTTTTTATTTTTCTGTAGTCCAACTTATCTTTTGTGGCTTCTAGATTTTGTGCCAGTTAGAAAGGTGTTCCCCACACCCAGGTTTATAAATTTATAACCCAGGTTATAAATTTCATGGTATTTTAATGCTTTCTGGTATAGCCCTATTGAAATCTGGAGTCACCTCCCCACAGTGGTGCTGCTGGGCGTAGCCTTAGGCTGTAGACTTTATTTCTGGCCCTGGATCTGATTTCATGGGTCTCCTCGGCCTTGTTGGAAATCTGGGTCACTGCTAGAACCAGATCAAGTTCATCTCACATCCTCCATAAAGTGGTGCTTTACAGGGAAAGGAAGGAAGGGGAGGACATTGGATGATCTTCTGGCTCTTATCCCATCTCTCAGCAACCTTTATTCCAAGAGAAAAACTCTAGTAGAAGTGGTTTTTGTCCCCTATGTGCTCTGGGAGTTAGTGGTTGGGTGACAGAACCCCTTTGCCGGTCTCCAGGGAAGGGAAACGAAACTTCAAGGGCCATTTCCTTCCACTGAGCATTTGTGCAAATCCTAGTTAAGTTGCTTTTCCACAGGGACAGGCTGCTTCAATCTCTGGAGTCTAAAACTGTCCTTCGTCACAGTGAGGGGGACTTGGGAGTCTTGTCCACTTTCAGCAGCATAGCTCTGGATTTTCTCAGAATGAAGTGCTAGTTAGTGGTGTGTCTCGGCAAAGACTTGTGTTTTCGCAATGGGTGTGAAAAACATTTGCTTAGCATAACTTTTCCCCCTTTAGGAATAGCCAAACTAGAAGAAGGACGGCTTACTGGGAGTGTGACCGGAAATGACATCACCGCCCCTCCAAACAAGGAGCTCCCACCAAGCCCAGAGAAGAAAACAAAGGTAGGTGCCAGAATGGTGGGTTGTCTTCTGCTGTAATTTTTAAAAACTATCTTCTGCTTATTATTGCTTGAATCATGCAAATGAAATTTCTTTTTTCTGAGCTATTATGAGTCCTTCCTCAAGTTTGGACATGCTTAGGAAATATTTTATATTCCCATTTTACCATGGTGGCCTAACTCAAACCTTTAAATCTTTTGCTTTTGACCGTATTATCTTGAATATCTGTTCTGTAGGTGTTGTTTCTGCTTCCCTTAACAACAATAATAAAGGGAATTACAGAATTATTCAGAAATCCATTCTGAAGTCTCTGTTAATGAAAAAGGAGCACAGATTGTTAAGGTGGATCATAGCTCCAGACATTTATTGGTACTTATTGCAAAGTACAAATGCCACATTTTAGTGTGGGCTTAAAACAGGACGTTGATATTGCCTCATAGAGGTGCAGATAATAAATAGCCTAATCACCTGCTGGTGTCTTTCTTCACAGAATTATTGCAGGCTTCAAAAGTTAGTTAATTGTTTAAAGTTATGACTGAATTTAAATCTTCAGGTGCCAAACTGCTGGAATTTGTGACATTGTCATTAAGAAACAATTCCCAGTTTTCTTTATCTGTATCCTGGTGTCTTTCCACTATTTACTGAGCTCAGAAGAAAGGAGTGCTAATTTTCAGTTGCATCTATCCTCATTGCTTATAATTTTACTTTGAATTGTGCAATTTATACTTTTTTTTTAAATTTGTTTTTATTCTTGTCTGTGTGTTTGATGTTGGCCCTTAAAAAAAAACAACAAATCAACTTAAAGCCTTTGGCCACCACTCAACCTGCAAAGACTTCAACATCGAAAGCCAAAACACAGCCCACTTCTCTCCCTAAGCAGCCAGCTCCCACCACCTTTGGTGGGTCGAATAAAAAACCCATGAGCCTTGCTTCAGGCTCAGCACCGGCTGCCCCACCCAAACGCCCAGCTGCTGCCACTGCCAGGCCTTCCACCTTACCTTCAAAAGACGGGAAGCCCAAGGTAAGTAGTCACCTGAGCACCGTGAAAGGGAAAAGTTTTCCCCTCCGAGCGTCAGGTAGTCAGACTCTGTTGCTTCCAGACATGGAAGCAGGCTGGTGGACTAGGGGAAAGGAGAGGGCAAAGGGGGAAGGGTAACTCAAATCATTTTGGGAGCTTTTGATGCAGCCATGAAATTCAGTGGCCTGTTTTCCTTTGTGCCTTTTCTGCCCTGGCTGGAGGCACTCTTGCCTCTGCTCTGGCTCCTCCTTTCTCCCAGCTCCTCCTCACTCTTCATCTGTTTACATTACTGGTTAACCAGTTTCCCCACTCCACATGCCAATCATATACTCATTTTTGGTGTAATTCCGCCATCAAATTCAATTCTTTTGTCTTTCTTCTTAATCATCCCGCAGAAGTGAATTTCCTCCATTAGTTGATTAGTGATTAGCTCTTCCAGCTTATCTTCCAGCAGATTCCAGCATCAGGTGGTAACTTAACTTTGCTTTTGGCATTAGGCTACCTCTCACTGGGCTCCTTCTGCAGTTTTTCAGTTTTCCGGGTCACCCACACATTATTGCTTAGAAATGGGTCAGTTTGGAACAGCAGTAGCTTCACAGGATTGTTCTTGGAGGAGAGGGTGGGTGGAATCTGTGACTGCCTTTTCTAACATCTTTTCTTTGAAAAGGGCCTTTAGGTCAGCCTGATATTACACTCTTTTTTTTTTTTTTTTT